CACAGAAAAAAAATCCGGTGTAGATTTCCACAACTCGAACCAAACTCACAAATGAGTGCATACTGCGCAGTCGATCCGACTTTTGGTAACTGTTCAGAATGCAATACGATATCCCAAGCACGACTTACAGCTAGAATAAATGCCACTGCACAACGAGTAGGTCCAAAAATCACTGGAACAAGGTGAAAAACAATCCCCACATATTTCAATGCATTTCCGCCCGCTGCAGTTTACCGCAAAACTACACGAATACGTCATCCTCAGTACGCTACTATTTCCGCGTAATCTCCGGTGAGCACTGGACCGGCCTGCTGTGTCTCAAGCCTGCTTTATGCACCCATCATGTTTCTTTCTCTGGGCCTTCGTCTTTCGTGCATTGCCTCATTAGCCATCACAAACTCTTGTCTCACTTAATTCGCGGTACACTGAAGTCGGGCATATATGGAAAGAGCCTCTACTACTCTACAAGAAAAATTAAGAAGAAAACCACCCAATCAACCTTTTTGTCCACAGATTTAAGACAACAAAATTTTGATTTGCAACTGTCAACAACTAATGAATCATCATCAATATCATCATCATCATCATTATCATCAACAGCATCATCATTACGATCATCGACATTACAAACACCGTCAAAATAATGTGGAAATCTTACCGGTGTCATCGATGAGCCATGCATTTCCGTAATTACTATCTTCATCAAAAACCTGTTCGTTACTGCCAACACTATTACCACCCACTACAATAGTAAGCCAATGCTATTATTGTTATCATCAGATTACTATTATCATTAGTATCATTGTTACTATCATCATTACTATCTTTATTAAAGGCTATGCTATTTGTATTATTTTCACCGCCGAACTGCAAGCTGCTGCGTTCACTTTCATTATCTTCATCGCCATCGCTTCATCTTTCACTCAAAAAATGCAAAATGATGAAAACGAGTGCTAAACGGTTGTCAATCACAGAAAGCAAGCTGTGTGCTGCTCGAAATGCGCAAAAAAATCGCCTAATTTTTCTACAACGATAATTTTTTGATACAAAAACTTTCGAAAAATTCTGACCACAATTTCAATCAGAAGCCTCCTCTCATCTTGAGGTTTTAGTTTACCGTGCCAT